TTGACGGAACTTAACAACAACAACAATATTGAGTGGAATTACGTCCGTCACTCACAAAAGGACAAATACGATATGACTCCACTATTACAAAAAGAAAAGGCAAGGTTTCCACACGGAATGAAACACTCTTTGATGGTTCAAGGATAGGTTGCTGCTATTAATGCCAGCATGTCGAATCCTACTCACAGTAACCTGCTATAGGGTTTCAGAGGAATGTTAGGTGAGCTTGAACTACCGATCCTGTGGTTCAGACTGACCTGCAACCCAGTGCTCCATGCTACATTGCCACACCAGGATTCCACTTACTAGATAATAACTAGATGATATTTTTGTTGTTGTTAAGTGCCAAAAAATCTATTCTGACTCATAGAGGCCTTGTAAAGAATTTCAGGAAGCACCAGGTAGGTTTGAATCATTGATCTTACAGCTAGCAGTCCAGTGCTTATCCAGAAGAATGTGAGGAAAATAAGAAATTGCACCTTTCCCATTTCCTGTATGAATCTGCTCTGCCAGACCTTCTTCTCTCAAACCTTGAAGTTTTGTTTCACATTCTCTCTCACTCTATCCAGGACTTTCTAATATGATCCCTTTCAGAGCAGTTGTTAGTGGTAATCAGGTACCATCTAGTTCTTCTTGTGTCAGAACATTAGTGATCTATGTTCCCCATGCCCATTAGTTCACTTACATGTGTCTTCAATTTTTATTACTCCTCTTTATCCAGACAGGGAAAGAGTAATAGTTGTAATGGCCACTCACCAAGTATTTGAGACTCCAGTAGCTCTTCACCAAAGTAGTATACACAGCATTGTCCTTGGGGATTATGCTTGTAAGATTCTTAACCACAATCCTGGGATCTAAGAATTTCACCATCATACTCCCTGATTCTTGCTATAAATGTCCCTTCATCACCACCGCAACCATGGCTCCGCCCTGCTGATTGGAGGTTCATTAAAGGAGACTTTTCTAGAAGGTGGAATCTGAGCAATATCAGACAACAGAGAAACTGCAGGATGGTGGCAATAATCAGATTCCCAGGCTTCTCCTCTCCTCTGTTCTGGTGAGAGGATGTTTGAAAACCCAGAGACACTGTTTCTCTCCAGGGTGGTACTTCCAATCAGACCTCAAATTTGAAATGAGATATGAGATCAATACCACAAGAAACACAGGTGTCCAATATACTAGTGAGGAACTACTTTGCCTTGACTGTCTCCTTTAATCTAGATTGCACTGCATTTCTGCATCCCTATGTTTTCTTCATTGCTTGTTTCTACCAGCAGATAGCAAACGTTGTTGTTAAGTGCCTTAGAGTAGGTTCCTACTCGAAGCAATCCTGTATAGGATTTCTGAGGAGTGACTGGTGAGCTTGAACTGCCAACCTTGAAGTTCAAACCGACCCTGCAATTCAGCGCATTAACCCACAGCAGCACACTTTGGCTCAACTGTTGCTTTTATCCCAGATTGCAGAGCATTTTTGCATCCTCCCCATGTTTCTATCATTGCATTTTCCTACCAGTAGGTGGCAAACACTGTTGTTAAGTGCTTTCCAGTGGATTCTGACAGACAGCCACAGTGTATAAGGTTTCCAAGGAGCAGATGGTGAGCTTGAACCACCGACCTTGCAGTTCAAACGACTTTGTAGTCTGACACATTAGCCCACAGTGCCATACAGGTGCCAAAATCCCTGGTTAACTCCTTGAGAAAATGTCCATTAGCTGAAGGGCCAGAGTCTTTTCCACCCTTAGGGGAGACATCACTTAACCTGGGCAGATTCCTAAATTGCTCATTTCTACCATGCTCATGATGTGACCACTCTCTTCAGTAACAGTTGGTCTGGGGCTGATTTAACTCTTTCCATAGGTAGTCTTGAAAAAAACAGATTACTGTTTTAAAAAATCAAGATGTTTCCTTATAATAATGTGACCCCTATATAAACCTCTAAGTAATACAGAGATCAGGGAAGGGTATCACTGTCACAGAGGCTACTGTGGCTTAGTTGATTGGTTTGATTAGGGAAAAAAAGTTATCCTGTGATGGTCAAAGTCAGCAGCAGGGCCTCCTCTGACTCCAAACAAAGAGCAGGTTTCCTTCTCATCCCACTCACTCCCTTTAAATCTATTCTCAGCTCTCATGCTGGGACTCACTCCTTGAAGATCTTTCCCAAATTGAACAAAATAACAATTCCCAACAATCAATAAGGTCTCTCCTTTTATCCTTCCTGCTCAATGTCTTGTATCTAGTGTAGGATAGTGATTAAGACATCATTATTTTATAAGGATACATCAGATAATCCAGTTAGTGTTTATTTAAAAAGCTTGTTTGGGGTTTTTTTCTTTTTTTTGGTGTTGTCTAGTAATATAAAATCCAATTCGTCTCATCAAGAATCCAGAGGGCTCTGAGATTTTTTTTTTTTTACACATGAAAGTATATGCCATCCACGACATTGACCAGTTCAACCTCACAGGCAGATGTGTCCTGTTTGAATCTTTCGTTCCTATCTGTACCCCATAGCCTGGTTTGAATGTTTGCAAAGCCCATTCCTGCCATTCACACTTAATGAAGTGTGGTCCCAACCGCTTAGCCAGAATCACACTTGTTGTTGAAGATCATCAAATGGATTCCTTCCACTAGTGACCCTGTCCAGGGTTTCCAAGGAAGCTGCTGGTGAGCTTGAACTGCCAACTACGCAGTTTAAATGCATTAACCCCAGCACCACACCAGAATCACCCTTTGGTAGACATAACACTGTACCTTGGGTATGGGGCTCCAGCTTGACTCTGGTTCCTGGTGCTCTGACTCTAGATAAGAACAGGATCAGGGGAGGTTCTGTGATAAGGTCTGTGTGTTCCGTGGAATTGAGATTTTGAACTAAGATTCTTTGTTGCGGTTTTCAGCGCCAGCTCTGCAAATGTTTCCAGAATGGATCAATGAGGCTGTGATTCTGATGATGACCAGCAGCTTGTGCTCTCCACCCCACAGCCCTCTCTGTGCTCTGAAAGTCACACTCCAGCTCTTCCTCTCTTTCCCAAAACCACAGCGTTGGCATCTCATCTGAATCACAGGAAATTAGTTTTCTTAAGGTCAATATCTTTTCTAAATTCTTAATTACATGTTTGTATTTTGTTCTTAAGTAGGAAGGCAGGTCTTTTTGAGTCTGAACCGACGGACATCCAGTTGAATATGATCCATAGTGACTGGGCATAGGGCTTCTGAGGCTGGAAATCTGTATGGAAACCTCATTTTTGTCACACAAAGTAAATAGTGGGTTTGAACTTGAAACCTTGCAGTTAGCAGATCAGTATTTTTCTGCTATGGCATCATTTTACATTATAAGAAAAGAACAGTCAAACAAAATATATAAAATGGAATAATAAAAATGGTCACATGAAGTGTTAATTCATGGAAGATGGTCCAGGCAACAGCCGTCTCTGTATCTTTACTTTGTGCTTAATGAAATCATTTAATCTCACACAAACAGCCCTGGTAGTGCCAAAATGTGGGGAGTTCAAATCCATCACATGTTCTGTGGGAGAAAGATAAGACTTTCTGTTCCTATAATGATTTATAGCCTTGGAAACCTTATGTAGGGTAGCTATAAGTCAGAATTAACTAATGTCAGTGAGGTCGGTTTATTCATAATTATCCAAATTTAAAAAAAAAAAAAAAAACAAGAAATTAAGAGTGAATAAATTAAGAGTTCATTTATTCATAGAACTACAATTTTTACACTAACTTCAGGATTTTAACTGAAGGACAATGATCAGTTTGCTAAATAATTTGAGACTACAATGTTTTTGTTGTTGTAGTTGTTTTTAGGTGCCATCCAGTCAGTACCGACTCATAGCAAGCCTGTTCACAACAGAATGAAACACTGACTGGTTTAGGAGTTGTTACAGTAGCAGCTTGTACCGCAAGGTGCGTGGTTGAAGCTCATCAGCCAGTCTTTGGAAACCCTATACAGAGCACTATGGGTCAGAACCAACTCAAAGCACTGAACAAGAACAACTTATTCAGCCTTACCTCCATAAGTCTGTCAGGTAAAGAATCACCAGGCATTCCCTGTTTTAATGAATGCATCCCTAAGCTTCACTTGTCTTTAACTGAAGGCCTATGGAACTGTAAGCAATAAGGGCAGCCTCCTCCAAGGCATGCATACAGGAGCCCGTTCTTATCTTCTCACATACAGAGTCTCTTTTCAACTGAAGACTCATTTTACTGAGGGTGCCAAATATACAGGGCAAGAGAGAGACATAGTTCTCAACAAGTGATTGGAGTTACTACAGGGTCTGGTTTTAAATCACAAGAAAAACTCAGAAAGAGAGAGAGAGAGAGAGAGAACAACCTAGAAATACACCATTTTGTAACAATTGTTTATCAGAGATTTCAAATTCACTCTCTGAGCTATCATACTGTGTTCTCTATCTCACTAGGTAGAGAAAAAAAAAAGAGAGACTTCTTTGTCTCTTGTTAAGCTCTTTGATTTAAATGTTCTTTAGGGTTTAATTGAATGGGTCTCAAGAAGAGATAGTTCCCAACATTTCATCTAATACTTAAGGACAGTTAACCTGAAAATGGCAGATACTAGATAATCTTACAAATCCTTTTATTTGTAGACACACTATGGATCATCATAATGGATAAGGAAACTATTTATTTTTCTAGATTCTTTGGGTGGAAACAAAACCCAAATGGAATTTATCTTCCTCAGTTTGAAGCTTGAAACTTTGCACCTCTTTAGGGTCTCTGATGCTTTCTTGCAGTGACAAGATCACTTGAGATGTATCCTGAAGAGGGAACCAACCTTTCATTGTTAGCCCTGAAGGCCCTTTCTCTTTTCTACAAACACAGACACATTTTACTTTGCTTTGGTCACAAGAAACACCCACCCTCTCCTTTGCTGTTGATGAGATTTGCATATTGTTCTCCTTCCCTTAAAAGTCTGAGATAAAAGGTCAGCTGGACTCTGTGTTACTTATTAAGACTCATCAGTTCAACATCTCAAAATGAGGTTCCATGCTCAGCTTCTGGGGCTGTTTATGCTCTGGATTCCTGGTGAGTACTGACAGGAAAGAGAGGAGAAGGGGTGGAGAAGAGGAGTCTACTGTGTTAACTGAACACATGGATTCCTTCAGAAATGGGCATGTAAATGCTGTATAGGGAAATGTGACAAAGAATTGAGAAGGAGCCAAGATCTGTTCTCTGGTAAAAACTGCTCCACAAAATAGGGTGACAGTAAGAAAACTAGATAACTTGGAGTATAAAGGATAAAATTGTACATGCAAAAATATAAACTTGGAAAATATGAACATATGTTTTCCCTAAAAATAAATAAATACAGAAAGCAGTCCTGAATATGACATATATTGTTTGGATATAACCTTGTTTTCTCTTTTGTGATTTTAGTCTCTAGTGGAGATATTGTGCTGACCCAGAGTCCACTCACCCTGCCCATCACACTTGGCGATTCAGCCACGATCAACTGCAAGTCAAGTGAGAGCCTTGAAGATAGTGATGGAGACACCTATTTGAACTGGTACCAACAGAAACCAGGCCAAGTTCCACGGCTTCTGATCTATGAGGTCTCCAACAGGTTCACTGGGGTCCCAGACAGGTTCAGTGGCAGTGGATCTGAAAGAGATTTCACTCTGAAAATCAGCAGAGTGGAGGCTGAGGATGTTGCAGTTTATTACTGTATGCAAGATAAAGAAGATCCTCCCACAGTGATACAGTCCTGCACAAAAACCTGTGGTTAATGTGGGCCAGCAGCCCATATGTGCGGCATGTCTGAGAGCAGGCACAGTGCATTCTCTGACTCTGCTGAAGAGGAAGATGTTAGATAAGTCAGGAGGATGGGTTGGGACTGAGGCAGGATAAGGGGCAGGTTTGTTTATGCACCTGTAAGGCTCTAGGCTTAATGGAACACTAAATGTGATATGTGCAAAAAAAATTAATTGGTTCAAAGCCATGTGTGTAAAAAATTTAATTGGTTCCAAACAATCTAAGTTCCTATCATTGTTGTTGTTAAGTGCTGTCGAGTCGGTTCCGACCCATAGCGACCCTGTACTGACTTTCCGAGGCTGTAAATCTTTACGGGAGCAGAATGCCTCATCTTTCTCCCACGGAGCGGCTGGTAGTTTCGAACTGCTGGACTTAAGGTTCGCAGCCCGATTCGTAACCACTACACTACCAGAGGTGAATAGCTAAATATCAATAGATGGATGGATAAACAATGGTGCCTACATGAACTATTGTGTAATCTTAAAGAATAATGGAAAATCTGTAAAACACTGCATCATATGGATGAATTTAGATTAATACTACCCAGGAGTCCTGGTGTGGCACTGTGGATTAATGCACCAGACTGCAAAGCTATTTGAACTGCAAGTTTGGTGGTTCAAGCTCACCAGCAGCTCCTTGGGAATCCTATACAGGGTTGCTATGGGTCAGAACTGACTTGATGGCACTTAACAACAACAACATTGAGTGGAATTATTTCACTCACAAAAGGACAAATGTGATGCGACTCCACTACTACAAAAAGAAAAGGCAAGGTTTACACACAGAATGAAACACTCTTTGGTGGTTCAAGGATAGGTTGTTGTTATTAATGCCAGCATGTCGAATCCTACTCACCGTGACCTACTATAGGGTTTCAGAGGAAAGTTAGGTGAGCTTGAACTACCGATCCTGTGGATCAGACTGACCTGCAACCCAGTGCTCCATGCTACATTGCCACACCAGGATTCCACTTGCTAGATAATAACTAGATGATATTTTTGTTGTTGTTAAGTGCCAAAAAATCAATTATCACTCATAGAGACCTTGTAAAGAATTTCAGGAAGCACCTGGTAGGTTTGAATCACTGATCTTACAGCTAGCAGTCCAGCGCTTATCCAGGAGAATGTGAGGAAAATAAGAAATTACTCCTTTCCCATTTCCTGTATGAATCTGCTCTGCCAGACCTTCTTCTCTCAAAATTTGAAGATGGTTGTATCATTCATGGCCAGCTTGTCACCATTTAGTGTCCTTCTCTTGCCATCCCTGCTCATGTTCTCCTCCAAGCAGGCACTCAATTCACTTCCCTAACCATTCCTCTGAAATTCAAGGTTACAGGATTTCCATCTGGGTCTCTTTCAGTTGGACTCTGTTTGTTTGTCACTCTATCCAGGACTTTGTAATATGATTCATTTCATAGCAGTTGTTAATAGTTATCAGGTACCATCTAATTCTTCTAGTCTCAGAACATTAATGATCTATGTTCCCCTTGCCCATTAGTTCACTTACATATGTCTTCAATTTTTATTACTCCTCTTTATCCACACAGTACAAGAGTAATAGTTGTAATGGCCACTCACCAAGTATTTGAGACTCCAGTAGCTCTTCACCAAAGTAGTATAAAGAACACTGTCCTTGGGGATTATGCTTACAAGATTTTTAACCACAATCCTGGGATCTAAGAATTTCACCATCATACTCCCTGATTCTTGCTATAAATGTCCCTTCATCACCACGGCAACCTGGCTCAGCCCTGCAGATTGGAGGTTCATTAAAGGAGACTTTTCTAGAAGGTGGATCCTGAGCAATATCAGGTAACAGAGAAACTGAAGGATAGTGGCATCAACCAGATTCCCAGGCTCCTCCTCTCTTTTGTTCTGATGAGAGGATGTTTGAAAACCCAGAGACACTGTTTCTCTCCAGAGTGCTACTTCCACTCAGACCTCAAATTTGAAATGAGATATGAGATCAATACCACGAGAAACACAGGTGTCCAATATCTTAGTGAGAGACTACTTTGGCTTGATTGTCTCCTTTAACCCAGATTGCTCTGAATTTCTGAAGCCCTGTGTTTTCTTCATTGCTTGTTTCTACCAGCAGATAGCAAACATTGTTAAGTGCCTTAGAGTAGGTTCCTACTCGAAGCAACCCCGTATAGGATTTCAGAGGAGTGACTGGTGAGCTTGAACTGCCAATCTTGAAGTTCAAACCGACCCTGCAGTCCAGTGCATTAACCCACAGCAGCACACTTTGACTCAACTGTTTCTTTTATCCCAGATTGCAGAGCATTTTTGCATCATCCCCATGTTTCTATCATTGCATTTTCCTACCAGTAGGTGGCAGCCCAAAGCATCTCACAAAACCCAGTTGCCTCTACTGCACTTCTTCCTCTTGATTGACATCTGAGGTCCAAAATCTCGCCTTTGAGCCGGACTTAAGGGCTCTAGAACAAGGAGATTCCTATTTAACAGCAACCAAGTAACCACCACTCGTCTGTCTGTCATACTGTGGTGGTTTGAATTGTTGTGATTCTGAGGGCTATGCCACCGGTATTTTAAATAACCAGCAGGGTCACCCATGGTGGACAAGTTTCAGATGAGCTTCCAAACAAAGACAGACTAGGAAGAAAGAGTGACAAACTACTTCTGAATCCCTAGTCACTGAAAACTCTATGAGTGGCAGAGAAACATTGTCAGATACAGGACCGGAAAATGGGAAGGCACTCAGAATGCAACTGGGGAAAAAAATGCCTCCTCCAAGTAGAGATAAGCTGACAGAACCTTCATTTGCTAATGGGCCACAAATCAAAATGAAGAGAAACAGCTGTAAACATCCATTGAAAATCGGAACATGGGATGTACGAAGTATGAATCTGGGAAAATTGAAAGTTGTCAAAAATAAAATGGAATGCATCAACATCGATACCTTAGGCATTAGTGAGCTGAAATGGACTGGTATTGGCCATTTTCAATCTGACAACCACATGGTTTACTATGCAGGGAATGACAAATTGAAGAGGGATGGTGTTGTGTTCATTGTACAAAAGAACATATCCAGATCAGTCATGAGATACAATGCTATAAGTGATAGGATAATGCCCATTCGCCTACAGGAAAGCCCAGTTAATACCACTACTATTCAAATTTATGCACCAACCACTAAAGCAAGTGACGATAAAATAGAAGAATTCTACCAACTTCTTCAATCTGAGTTAGATCAAACATGCAATCAAGATGTATTGCTCATTGCTGGTAAATGGAATGCAAAACTAGGGAGCAAAGATGAGGGTCCAGTAGTTGGAAAATTTGGACATGGTGATAGAAATGATGCTGGAGAACGAATGATAGATTTCTGCAAGACAAATAATTTGTTTATTTCAAATACCTTCTTTAGAAACATAACAGACGACTATACACATGGACCTCGCCAGATGGAACACATAGAAATCAAATTGACTACATGTGTAGAAGGAGAAGATGGAAAAACTCCATTTCATCAGTGAAGACAAGGCCAGGGGCAGATTGTGGAACAGACCATCAATTACTGATATGCAAATTCAAACTGAAACTGAAGAAAATGAAAACAAGTCTACGAGACCCAAAATATGACCTTGAATTTATCCCACCTGCATTTAGAGATCACCTGAAGAACAGATTTGATGCATTAACAACTACAGACCGAAGACCAAAAGAGTTGTGGTATGACATCAAGAACATCATATATGAAGAGAACAAAAATTCATTAAGAAGACAAGAAAGAAGAGATCAAAATGGATGTGTCAGAAGAGACTCTGAAACTTGCTCTCCAGCGTAGAGA